GACAAAATCAAGATAGCACAGAAGTTAGTGGCAGAAAGTTGTGATTAAGAAATGGGTGACTAAGAAGCACAGCAAGCTGTCCATACCCGAGGCCTTGGGAACTGCTAAGCAAAGACTCACAGCTACCCATTTGAAGAGGTATATGAGAAAGTTGGAAGCCAGGAGAATAAACCAACTGTTCTCCACTGATGTGTAGTGTCAATGGCAGGAAAACAATTTGAGAGCAGCCCCACCAAAGTTGGAGACTGAGCAATACTAGAAGACCATATGGGAGAAGACTCAACTTATAACAACAATGTTCAATGGCTAGTGGATCTAAGAGCAGACCATGTCAATCTCCCTGAACAGGATCCAGTAACCATCACAGTGGGAGACATCCAAGAAAGAGTCTCAAGTATGAAGAGATGGACAGTACCAGCCCTTGACATGACGCTAACTGCATTCCACATGTGTCTAGCAGCACAAATATATCTGCTGCTAATGGATGAGACACACCCAGAATGGCTAACTGATAGCCCTAATCCTCAAGGATTATCAGGAGGGAAAAGTCCCATCCTGCTTCAGCTCCTGTACTAGAATTATATAAGATCAACAGGAACCTTAGGCCACCTTCAAGCAAATTACACCCTAAAGTGAGAGATTTACCAAAGAGATGCTTTGTCCTTACTGCTGTTATGCATAGGCCTGAACCACCTCAGCCAGATCGTTGACAAGAGAGGCTATGGATACCGACTACAGAATGGAGCAATTGTTAGCCACCTCCTCTCTTTGGATGACATTAAGCTGAATGCCAGGAGTGGAGAAGACATTGAGGGATTCATACCACTAGGATGTAGGGCAGCGACATCAGAATGTCATTCAGATTAGAGAAGTGTAGTCGGATAGTAACAAAGAGAGGGAAGGTAGTCAGAAGTGAGGAGATTACATTACCAGAAGGTGGCATTGCAGATATTAAGGACAGTTACAAGTACCTGGGGCACCACAGGCAAATGGGAACCATGAAGAGGTCTCTAGGAAAGCTGCAACCACCAAGTACCTGCAGAGGGTCAGGCAAGTCCTGAGGAGTCAGCTGAACGTAAGTAAGAACAAGATCCAGGCTATCAACACCCACACCCTGCCTGTGATCAGGCACCTTGCTGGGCAAAGAAGGAGATAGAAGCCACTGACATTAAGACACGAAAGCTCTTTTTCATGCATGGAGGGTTTTACTCCAAATCCAGCACCCTGAGGCTGTATGCCAAACGGAAGGAAGGAGGCCGGGGACTGGTGAGTGTCAGTACCACAGTCCAGGATGAGACATCAAAGATCCATAAGTACATCAGGGAGATGGCAACAATTGATCATATGCTCTGTGAATACCTCAGGCAGCAGAAACCTCAAAAAGAAGAAGAGAATGAGTCT